TTTTACTCCTAATGTAAAGACACAGATATTGCTTTTAGAAAAGAACGTCAGTTCAGCATTTACATGGAAGGAATTTAACAAAGCTTTTGAATTACTAATTAAGTTTAGCCTTTTGGTGTGTGCCAGCGGTGGGGGAAGGTGGGCAGCAGTCCTTTGGAGGTATAATTATCTAATTTGTACAATTAGACAACTCACTCTCTTTAAATAAATCATGCGCATCAACACTGACCATGGGCAATTACATAATATGTTGCATTATTCTCTCATTTTAATTGGTTCTTACTTCTGATCTCCTGGAGGACAGACATGTTTGTAGATGGCGTCATTAACAATTTTCTTTGTTTCTTAATAAAACAAGATGGTTCCAAATTGTTGTGCATCTGCTCAGTAATAGATCACAGAAGACATCAAAATGTGGTAAGAACACCAGGGCAAGGGTTGCATTAAGGGCCGAGAACGGGGAAAATTGACCGGGTGTGAGGATGATTTTGCCCGCCTAGTTTGACCATCCAGACAAAAGTTTTTCTTATAAAAAAGTTCAGTTCAAAACGTATAGCCCGCCTGTAAAAACCAGTTACCCAGACCTCCTCCTGAAAATATTAATGACACTCCTGATCAGTGAGGCACTTGCCTTGCGTACATCACTCAAGGCTCGTGTGCCACTTTTTTGTTCTTAACATATTTTGACACACAAGAACATGGAATCCATTTGCTAAATTGATTCTCAGCAGACAAAAAAAACTTTACTTAGCTAGTAACTGTACAGTCCACAGAAGGGTAATGTAAGACTACAAGCCTCGTCATGTTGAAACACTTTAGTTTTCACACATTTTGCCCCTCCCCACCCCAGTACTAGGTAGACAAAACACTTTGAATGGACACATGAACACATTTTGCCATTTTCCAACATTGAAAGGGGTTTTGACACATTCTTATTAGTTGCTATGATCGAAATTTGAAACATTTACATGTGTTTCAATTTTATGTGAAGAGACAATGTACATGTACTTAGACTGTGGCCATTTTGGTCTGGAACCAAGTGCATAAACCTTTCAAGGGGAAAATAACAGCTTTGTTATTTTGCAACTTGGCTCATGTTTAGGAAGGGGGATTTAGCTTGAATGCAGTTTCTCCTATCAAAGTACAAAAAAAAAAAAAAGCTGCAAACTCAGATGAATTTCCATCCATTGTTTCATGCCTGTAACAAAGAAACCTACATAACCTTTTCAAAACAAGGATAAGGATATTTTCAAAATAAGGATATTTATCCATGAGGCAGCGGTGTGGCCCAGTCATTAGGGTGCTGGATTTGTAATGTGGAGGTCCCAGGTTATAATCCTCTTCCCTGCCATTAGATGGATTTGTGTTTGATGGCCTTTAATTTAACTCCTTCATGTCTTGTACATAAAAAGCCAACTGGTCAGCCTCCAGCCAGTAGGAATTTTTAACAAGTATTCATTTTTTGTTATGTACAATATTTGTTTCTTTATTTATAGTGTCCTCAATCGGTGCGACAGCGCTTAATACCATGACACAAGTTTACTTATTTTTCATTATTTATTGACAACTATGAGATCACCTTGCTGCAGTTTGTTGTTGCTTCTCTACTTTCAGGGGGGCTGGGGAGGGAAATTCCTTTCTTTGGGTGGTTGGTACTTTCAGGTCATGAAAAAAACTTGCAGCTCTATCATTTAACTTTCAGCATTTTGTTACTTCTGGAACATTACTGTACTAGCTAGCCTGCAAACAGGCTCCCGGCAAGGACAGAGAAAAATTTGACTAGCAAAGCGAGCTGACGAGCGTGAAACTTAAGAATTTGGAGAGCAAAGTGATTGGGGTGGGACAGGGAAGCCTGTAGACTTTGTTTTTGATGTGCCTATCCAACCTTGGTGATTGGCCTGTAACAAATCAGTCAATGAGGTAATTGGACCTGTCAAGAAGCTTAATTTTCTGTACTTGCAAACAGTTCCAATCAACCCAATAAAACAGCCGGGCCCAGCATCATAATATAGAGTGCAAGTAAGCAACATGTTCATGGAACATTTCAAAGTTTGCCCCTCCAGAGCCAGTACTTTGAGTGCTTAAAACATATTTTGCAATAATGAAATGAGCCTTAAGAAATTGTAAGCACATGGCAAATGATAGAGGTGTCAAACTCTGCGAGGCGACGTTCAGATAACAGCAGAAAGTCTGGAAACCATGCCTTTGACTTCTAAAAAGAATAATTTGCTATAGCACAGTCAAATGGCTCCACTCTACTTAAAATTCCTCCTCATAACACAGCATAAAGTACCCTTTAGAATCTAGCCTGCATAGCAAGCGTTTCTGTGGGGTTCAGGAGCAAAGAATTACAGCACAAAAAATGGAGCGAGTAAAAGAGGGGGGAGGGGAGGGGAAGGAAGGACGGAAGGAAACGCAAGCGTTTCCTTCCTTCCCCTCTCCCACCCCCCTCTTTCTTTGTTTTGGCTCTCGCCCCATTTTCCGCGCAGACAATACACCGAAAATCCCATTCCTCGGTCTTTCTTTGCTTCCAAACCCCACGGAAATGCTTGCTACAAAGGCCATTTAGAATCACATGTGAATTTAAATAATGAAAGGTTGAGGGACCGAAAATTAAAAGAGAATGAAAAATGCACAAATGTCATGAACTGTAGGAGTCATGTATGGCGGTCAGCCACATTTTACAAAGATCTGTCAAATATTTATCTCAAAGATGTCAACAATCAGAGATTTAAACAATCATGTCATGATACCAGAACCTGGTATCATGGAACAGGGGCATCAATAGTAGAAAGGTTCACTCAAAATTAATGTCTAAAAGCCCACTCGCTTCTTTTGGGCTCACTGGGAGCCTGTTCGCAGGCTATGTACTAACTGACTCATGACTAGGTTGGAGGTGAAAATAACAAGAAAACTTGATCATTACTTACTTGGTACACAGCTTTCATTGAAATATTTTCCTGCTGCTACATAGGGATTACAGCTAGAATCATACTTCATCTTTTTCATAGAGAGAAGAGTTCCAACTGGCACATTCCAACCTGCTGTTTTTCCAGCTCCAGTGTGGCATGTCTTCTTGCCTTCCAGCTTGTCAAATTGAATATCAGTGTTGCTCTTCTTTACAACTGCTACAGCATAGTAGCTCAATGTGCCATAACCATAATCTTCACCGACCACAGGAACCATTCCAAACTCTTTACCTGAAAGATAATGTTACATATGAGGCTACTCCCCTTCAATGCAAATATTTGGCTTGTTACTAGTAAGAACAATAGCATTGCATGACCTCACATGACAATCCATCTTTAAACAATGACAATGTAATACTCATGGTTATGGCTCTGTCAATTCCAAGCCCCTTTGTTCCTAGCCCCCGCCAAACAAGTAACTGAGCTGAACAAGTAACTGAGAACTGAAAACATTAAAACCTGATGTACCACAGGTAAACAAAGCATACTATATGAGTATTTGAGTATTTATGAAGCTCTAAAGAAATTTAATGATAGATTTTACTATGGACAGAAAAATCTTTTTTTTTTGACCAAATTTCACATTTAGCAGTAATCAGGGATTTGTAGGTGTGTTCAAATGTTTGTCACTGGAATTACAGTTGCCTAACCATAGCACATGCCATGTTCAGGTTCTGGTAGCTCTAATAACTGGCTTTTGTTTGCTTCAGGTGTAGTAAAGAACTCTTTGATCAAGCTTTGTTGTTTTACACCTAGCACAAACTTTCCAAAAAAAAAACATTGCAATAACGTCAAAAAAGGATAGAGATTGCACCTACCGAGTGAGAAATTACTCACTCACAGCGAGTTTATTCAGTTTGTGTTTGTTACTGCAATAGGTTAGATTAAACTGATTTACACTCTTATCATTCTCTTTGATCAACTGGGTTTGTACATTACAGGATCAACTTTCCCAGGTAAAACCCCCAATGAGATAAGCCAATGTTTGGGTAGCACCTGCATAGTGCATGACTTGCTAATACATTTGTAACTGAGCTTTCCCTAGGTGGTGTATTGATGTACAAATACTGATGAAACAAACACTCACCAAATTACTACTGCAAAAGAAAGTGCAAAGCAAAACATCTCTTGGTTGAGTATTCTTTTTCTTGCAAACTCACTCATCATAACTGAGCTGTATTAAAGTTTTCCCCTTGAATTCCCTGGCAATATATTTTTATCAATGAAAGTAAAATTATACTGCATACATGTTGCACATGATGCAGGCGCAGATCTAGGAAAAATGTTGACCGATTTACTGCAAAACGAGCGCCAAAGGCGCAAGGTCCAAGGGGGATCTGGGGGCATGCCCCCCCAGGAAATTTTTTCCATTTTAACTACCTTAAGTACCCATTCCTGGCTTTTTGAGTTAGTCAGACAATATATTTGCCAGTTCTATTCTCCTTGGATGAAGTTTTGCGGCAATGATGTGATGGCATGACTGCCGTTGGGAGACTAGTGATTTCCCGGCTGTAAAATTTTGCCGCCAGAACGTGTCTATGACCCTTGTCTATTTCCAGTAATTGGCAAAAAAGAATAAATA